TTTGACAAACCTCCTTTTGGAGCATGCGACTATTTCAAGCCAAAAAATATTAATGCTTCATCAAAAGAATATGGTCTATGTAAAAAACGTTAAATACCATAAGCAGCTGCACTATAACTATATAAGCATAATTTTTTTACAACACAAAAATAGAGGGTTCATGTTCAAAACCACTTTCTACATAGCATTTTCGGAACCTGCGTTTTGTGGATATTTGAAACTATCTGTAGAATATTAGTAAGAATACATTATTTTTCAGCAAGCTTATTCGAACCAGCAAAATTATTATAAGTGTCTTCACATTTAGGTTACTCACACAATCTTTATCTCACGAAATAACTTGCAATCTGCTTTTCTAAAATCTAAAATAAAAACATCAATGGTGTCCCCAGTGGCTCAGCAGTAAATCTGGGGCTTATAACGCCAAAAGTTGAGTTTCGATATCCGTGGTGGGTAAAGCACAGATAGCCCATTGGGTAGCTTTGAGCTTAACAACAAAAGTCATATAAATTTTACACAAATACATTTGTATCATATTATCTTCAGTATCATTAATAAGATTTAAAATAACATCGGTGGCTCAGTGGTAAGTCTGAGGACTTATAACGTTAAAAATCACATTTCGATACGCACGGTAAGCAGTGCACATATAATCCATTGTGAAACTTTGAACTTAACAACAAACAAAGAAACAGACATTCTTAGAAAAAAAACAAACAATTTCCCACAATCTCAAGAAATTTTTCAGTCTGATGCAGTGAAGTTAGATTACCCAAATCAGAATCATTAAAGTTTCTTATGATGATAAGACTATTTCTGTTGGCAGCATAACTAATCTGTCTGTACTTATTCCTATGAATGTCATCAATTTGGTCAGGCGGCTTATAGAAAATCTTAATAAGCATTATTTTTTTCTCTTTCTTTCAGGAAACCTTCAACATAATCACGCTTCACATTTTTTCCAACGTCAATAATGTTATCTCTCTCACGAGGTTTCACCATATTTCCATCAAACAAAATCCTTTCTCCTCTTTTTTTATTAACTTGGTTTCTGCGGACATCCTTAAAGTCTTGTAGAATAACATTTTCATTGAACTGAGACTTAGCAGTACCAATGACATCTAACACGATAAATAAAGCTTATAATTATATCAACTTATCATACATACTTCTGGAAATGCTATAAAAAAACAAAATTTACCAACCAGTCTACGTCATGACTTCCAAGGCTCATAACACGATCTGTGAAGTCTTTGTTTGTTTGTCTGAAATTAAGCACAAAGCTAACAATGGACAATCTGTGCTCTGCCCATCACGGGTATCGAAACCCGGTTTTTAGCGATGTAAGTTCGCAGATATACCGCTGTGCCACTGGAGGGCCTGTAAAGGCCATAGAATATATTCTACCACTATATATATTTAGTTCCATGATGTTAGAAAAACACGTAGGGTCAAGAAGTTTGATAAAAATGAATAAAAATCCTATAACCCTAGAGCTTTCGAAAGGTGGACCTTTCTTTTTCAGAGGCAAACTCTTTGCTCCTGAAGAAAAAAGGTCCACCTTTCGAAAGCGCTCGGGTTATAGGGTTTATATTCATTTCGATATTTAGTTTCGACAGTATCCAACAAAAGTCACTTAGAGCATCACCTAAACACTCTATTTCTCCATCACACATCCCCCCCCCCCATATCTTAGAGGCTGTCCCATAGATCCAACCAGTTTATCTAATAGTCCAATTACATTCCTGATAGTCTCGTAGTTACCAGGAAGACGATGATAGGCTAAATTTGTCTGTGGTTAACAAAATAATGTTACGGTTGTTTTATTGCGTTTTTTCTTTCCTTTTTATATCACTCTTTTTATCGAAAAAAAAGGGTTCCAGATCTTTGCTTACAAGAACGTTTATCTCATTAAAATGACAAAAGCATATAACATGAACTTTTTGAAGTTCAGATGCTTTCTACACACATTTTATAAACTTTTGTGTTGATAAGTTCAACTACGATGCTTATTAATAAAACGAAATATCCAATGCAGAAAAAAATAGTTATTTCTATAAAACGTTGTTATTATTGTTGTTTTAGCACAAGGTTACACACTGGCTTATTTTCGCTCTCTGGTCACGGGATAATCTAACCCCCGGATTTTAACGTTGTAAATATGTAAACGTACTGGAAGACTTCTATAAAACGATAAAGAACTATTTTTTTCAATGATATTTTGCTAACATGCAAATAACATGTGACTTGAAACTAATTATAGTGTGTACAACAGGCAAAATATTCAATCCTTGTTGTCTCTACTTTCATGAATACCAAACTGTTTTTTTACTACGTTTATTATATCTTGTACTAATATTTTTGTAATAGTGTATTTTTTCTTGTGTAAAGTACCGGATACATTATTCTAAGTTATTTTAGCCAAATTACTTTTTCACTACAGTGAAGCAAAGTGTTGCCATCTAGTGTTCATTTATGTAGATAGAATACAATGAGCCCAAATTGTTCATTTACCATGAGGTAGGTTTCTCTTGAAGTTTGTTTGTATTTTTAGAGAATAGCCACATTGGCCTATCTGCGTTGTTAACCGCGGGAAATCGAACCCTGTATTTCAACGTTGTAAGTCCGTATTGGGGTCAGGATTGGAACTGGGACTAGAATAGCAGAAGTATTTTTATTAAACGAAAACTCTTGCAAACAATTTTAATGGAAGAATATTTCCAAACCATGTGAACCAAGCTGCATCAATAAGATGAATAACAGATGCAACTTAAACACGTGAATTTCATAAGCTGAAACAAGCCAGAACAATTAATGGTTTACTATAAGTATAAGAATCCCAAGAAG